GTCAAATCTAGTTAGTTTTAACAGTGACAATTGTGTTCCAAGGTCCACAGTAGATGTCCTTTATATTCAGTACATGTTGTTTGAAGTAAGGAACCAATGTAATAACATCTGTAGTTCTGTTGTTGTTCTGTCCAAGCTGACCATACTGATTCCATCCCCATGTGTAAAGTTCACCAGTATCTAATAAATAAAAATAAGAATACTGTAATATTGTATTTCTGGCATGTGATTTACGTTGGCAAGTCATCTTCCAAATCACAGTTTCGTTATAACAGAGTTACTGCCTTCCAACAACTGAATAAACTAACCTTGGCTGTGGATTTGTATGCAAAAAGTTGCCATCAAGAGGCTATATTTATTCTCACTTTAGTGATCTCGGTTTGAGTCAAGTGTTGAGATTGACTTGGCACAGGCTGAAATGTGTGTGTGTGAATAGTCGGGATCCAACTCTGCATGTACAAGCACAAGGGAGCCCAGGAACTAGAATCAACTGTACAGAGTCCTTATGGTGTGTGTGTGTGTGTGGGGGGGGGGGCAACTTTTGCTTTCGGGCAATCGTTAATTATTCATAAATGGAGTCAATTTGTGTAGTTTTCTTGATTTATTTTGCAGATATCGGTAAAATATAGGTATAACTTTGGCAAAATTTGAATGAGCAAGCAATATGCTTCAACCTGGTATTTTTTATAGATTTTATTTTCCATTTTTTTTACCAGTTTTAAAAATATGGGCTTGCTGGAGCCTTCATCCCTTGTCTATTTCTTACACAAGATACCCCCTCCCACCCTCATAGGGACTACATACAGTTGATTACAGTTGCTGGGCTCCCTGTGGTACATGATTGGTGTGTGTGAATGATCAGCAATGCTGAAATAACACCCTTGGTGGTGAAAATAGATGAGATGGATGCAAGAACAGTTAATTCTACAAGTATGGCTCAAGGCAAGTCTGTTAACTTTTTATTTTACTTGAATGCAAAATAATTTTAATGGTGTCATAATCTGTGAAGATCTGCCCACAGGGGGTAATTACACTTATAGAAAAGTCAGGCAAAGATAAACGGTATATAGGTAATTGGAGGCCAATAACATTACTTAATGTTGATTATAAGATTGCTGCTAGATGCAATGCTAAACGCCTAGAACATACATACAAAGCTGCCTAAATCAGTCTCTGAAAAGCTTGCAGCAATCTTTCAAACATACTGTTTAGATTCAATGTATGATGATAATAAAGGAACAAAACATCAGAATAAACTCCGCACATACAGACATCTAAAAACAAAATTCACTTTTGAAAAATATTTAGAAACTGTGCAAAATCCCTTTCACAGGTCATCCATGTCCAAACTAAGAATTAGTGCTCATGTTTTAGGATTAGAAACTGGAAGACATAAAAACATTGACATTTCAAAAAGAAAATGTCAGTTTTGTCAATTAAACGAAATAGAAAATGAAGAGCACTTGCGGTCTCTATAAAAAAGAAAGAAATGAGCTTCTCAAAAATTTGATGCTACCTCCAAAACTTCCTGACAAAGAAAAAATAGTTGCAATACTAAACAATGGTAGTAAAAAATTAGCTCCTTAAATTGCTAAGTACATAGATGATTGTTTTAAAATCAGGGAGAACAACCTGAAAAAAGTACTACCAGCTGCCTCAAAATGAATAAAAAACATTTACTTTCATTTATTATATTTTATTAATACCTTTGTTTTATACTCTTTTAATCTTATTTAATTTTTTTTTCATTGCTATACCTTTATTGTATCTTCAATCAAAGTCCCATAGAGGATACGATAACAATAAAGATGATTATTATTATTACATAATTTAATCAATGAAGGTCAAACAGCATTTATTAAGAATAGATCAATTGGTGACTGTGTTCGTTTCATTGAGGGAATTATGGAATACACAAAAGATTATGGAAAAAATGGGGTGCTCTTAGCTATTGATTTCCAAAAAGCCTTTGATAGTCTTGAATGGGATTTCATGTTCAGTTGTCTACGTAAATTCAACTTTGGCACTTCTTTGTTAGGTTGGATACAGGCCTTTTATTCAAATCCGTCTAGTTGTGTTATGAATAGAGGGCAGTCAACAGGGTATTTTTCCCTCTCTAGGGGAGTCAGACAGGGGGATCCCCTATCACCAATTTTGTTCATTCTATCTTTAGAAATACTTTTGATAAAGCTGTAATATGACAATGGAATCAGGGGGATTAATATTGGTGGTTTTGAAATAAAACATTCTGCGTATGCTGATGACCTCACCTGTTTTATGTCAGACCTTCGTGCTGCTGAGAACCTCTTAACTCTTCTTCAACAATTCTCACTTTTGTCAGGTTTAAAAATTAATTTTAATAAGACTGAAGCAATGTGGCTAGGAAATTGGAGGCAACGGAAAGATACCCCGCTTGGGGTAAAATGGCCTATGTCACCTATCAAGATTGTGGGTGTATACTTTTCTTACAACTCTATAGCTGCATATCAGAAAAACTTAATTGCTCCTACTAAAAGTCTTGAAAAAGTTTTAAACTTCTGGAATATGCGAAACCTCACACTAATTGGTAAAATACAAATTATTAAATCTGTTGTTATACCCAAATTTCTCTATATGTTAAATCTGATTAATATTAATCAATCTGATGTCAAAATGATGAACT